TCTGCTTGTCATGTGCGAGAATTCTTGTATTAATGTTGCCAAAATCATCTTCTAAGCTTTTGTATCTTTAGCAGCTGAGAGGTTTGCTTGCGACAATAATGGTAGCGATACATTTTCAACACTGTATTTATTTACCTATTGTAGGCAGTTCACAATAACATCAACAACAACAAGTACAATAGTTAATATGCAGATGTGAATAATTAAGGCTGATATGTGTTTCGCAGACTTGTCACCAACGCATGCATAATAGGTATGTATGTATGTATGTATGTATCAAGCCAAATTTTATTTTATGTATGTGTTAAATAATTTGCTTCAGAGACAGATACTGGGCAGACATTGTGGCACATGCGAGCTCGAAGTCAAATGTACGTATGTAAATCCGTTAGTGCATTTACTTGCATGTGTTTGTGTAAAATCAGTAAATACATTTACATGTCAACCATCTTCGAGTGTCTCAAAATCTGAGTCCTCACTGGCCCATTGCTTACTAACGTAACGTAAATGTTACCTATTTCACTTCCTTAGTCCTCTCTACAAACACTTAGATGCACTACATATTTCCATACACACATACGTAGGTATGGGCGTCCACACTTATGTATGTATGTATGTATGTAAATATAACTACGACAGCTTTCAGTGCCGCTCCGCCATTGTCAATGTCACTTCCTTATCCGCAATCCCCCACCCATCAGTCATACTTACTCTAGCACAACTGCAGTATCCATGAAATATATTTGTAGATACATACATATGTATGTATGTGTGTATGTATGCATGTTATTCAATTTGAATGCATGAATTTTGAGCTTTAAAGTACTCGTATTTTCGAGGTGATTTAATGCTTCTCAAGGCAATACATTGTACCGTGGTTAAGCTGTTGGGATTATGTTGATTTCTGATATTTATCGGCTCGCAACTATTCGTACATGAGCATTACTGCAAATACGAGTGTGTTGTATACATACTTACATATTTATGTACATAAATAAATTCAAAAAAACATTCATAATCCTCTATGCAGTAAATATTTGTGGTAGTTATAATCGAAATGGCTTTTGGATTGGTGACTTAGAAATGTATATACATACATACATATGTATATAGAGAGGTGTGGCACTTAAGAAATTCAAATGCAAATTTGTTTCGAACAAGTTTAGCTTCATAAAATTGTAATTATGTAATACTTTGAATACCTGCTTTGCTCATACACTTGAATAGTTTCCAGTAGCCAAGTGTAGAGATTAAATGGATTTTGCATAAATTTAATTTAATATTACTATTTAAGAATATTTATCTATTTGATGTGTTGATTTAAATACTACTCGGATTATTTATGGCAAACAAAGCAGTCAGAGTGTTTTCATATTTATTTGTCACGGCAATTGGTATACAGATTTAATGATGTATGTAAATAATTAATAAATTTTAACGAATATTGACAAACGTAAATGAATACCAAATATTGTTCAGGTCTACGAAAAATGCCCATTTATGTACATATGTATTATGTATACGAACATACACACATACAGCCACAGATATTAGACAGTAAAAGGGTATTATACTAAGTTCCCACGGCAGGTAATTCGCTTTCCCATTCTTAATTGGCTCTCTCATTCGTAATTGACGCCCCAATCAGAGTTGGGCATTATTTGAATAAATTGTTATTTAGATAATTATTCGAATAAAATTTTATCCGTAATATAATTATTCGCATATAACTTATTCACGAAGAAATTATTCGCGAATAAATTGCTTGCGAATAATTTATTCGTTATTTTAAATAATGAATAAAAACTCATTTTTAACACATTGAGCCACCTTTTATTTCTATTGCCAAGGATTGTAAGTTAGCTGAATTTTGTTTACTATTTTATCAAGAATACTAGCCCATTCCCTCTGGTTTCGCGGCCCCTGATAAGATTTTTTGCGTTGGCCAATGCAAGAATAGCGTTAAAAACCAAATATGGGTAAAGTAAAAATTCTCACACATATTTCGGCCAAAAAAATAGCGCTCTGATGCTATATGCAAGAAAAAATTCCTTTGAATGTCATGAGCTTTACCAATGGTCTTATTTCCACTTGTGAGATCTTTTCTAAGCGTGCGTAATCTTCTTCTATGATCTTGCAACTACAACATTGGTCCGATGCGTCAACCTCTAGCTTATGTCATGTAGGCCAACAAAAGTCCTTATAAGGATGCTGAAGAGCACAGATGTGCGTTTTCTATTATAGGAGAGCCAAAAATCCTCGATGTAAAATTTGGCCATTGATATAGGAATTGGAAGGATGTGGTCGAAACTTTCCTTGCTTATTCGCCACTTTTAAAATATCCAAGAGCTGGTTTCCTTGAGTCTTACTGCTGCAGCAATGGCCGCCCGAACAATTTCATCAAGCGGAGGTAGATGCAAGGTCGCATTTAGGGTATATGACGACATGGGACATCGTAAATTCGTATAATATAAACATAAAAAACAAAGGAGTCCAGACATATGGGGTTTCTTGAGATTTCGACTGCAGCACCATTATGAATTGCAACCTGATTGTGCAATAAGTAGGGATTTTCTAAATAACTCAACTGTAGCGCCACCTAGCGGGTCCATTTTTCGCATAAGTATTTTTCATCATGCAGGAAGAACACATTTTGAATTTGAACGAAATCAGTTCATAAATACGGCTTTTATAAATAACTCGGCTCCATCGCCACAAAGGAGTTTTCTAGTAGCCTTTAATAGGACTTTATGCGCAAGGAATAACCTCCGAAAATTTGATTTAAATCTATCTAGGGGTTTGAGTTAAACCACAACAACGAAAGCGGTTATCATTTTATACATAAATATACATATCTATATACATAAATTACTTGTTTTATTATTATTTTATTCGTTATTCGAATAATTAATGAAGATAATAATTATTCGAATAACGAGTAACATAATTTATCCGTCATTCGAATAATTTTTTTTAATAAAGAAAATTATTTATTATTTACGAATAACAAGAAAAACAATTTATTCATTTGTTATTCGTCATTCGAATAAATTTTTCCCAACTCTGGCCCCAATTACCCTTCAAATTGCGTAATTCGCCATAGAAAATTTTCAGCGCGAATTACCTCATTTGTAGGCAATTCAGATCCAATTACCAAGCGAATTACGAACAAATTGGTGCCGTCTCTAATTTTAATCGGAAATTTGTAGAACTCAGATGTCAGAGCAAAAGAGAACAGAAAAAATCAAAACAAAGAAAGTGAGGAAATGAAGGAAAACCACAATGAATTGTCAAATCGAATTAGGAATGAGTCGTGTAAACGGGGTAATTCACCAAAGTAAATCCGATGCGAACTAGGTAATTGGCGTGGGGACATAGTAATCCTTTGGAAGCCCTTCTCCTTCGCCTTTCGATATTCCAGCTACATCGCGAACGATGAGGTGGGATCATCTCAACGCTTCCTCCTCGACATTTTCCCGATTTCGTTGATAAACTTTTTGAAAAATTTTATACGACCCTTTAAGCCTAAACCCTTCTCATCTGATATTGTTTAGCAAAAATATTTTTAAAAACTATTTCATTCATAAAAAACTAAATTTTTGAAGGTATTTGAAAATAGGTCCAGCTCGCATAAATTGTAATAAATTTTATATTTCCGATGGGAAAAAATACCGATTTTTTTTTATATATACCCTAGTGAATATTAACACTTAGCAGAAAAAAAATTTTGCTGTACTTTCAAGTATAAAGTAATTTCGAAAACTTTTTCATTGTCGAGCGCAGTTTGTTGACCTCAGCTACCCCGTTCTAGTACTTACCCACCAGATCTCAGTTCTTATCATCCTAATGTTAGTAAATAAAAGCTCACCAAAAATCATAAAACTTTTGCCAAGGAAGTATATCGATTATTTTAGTTGAACTGTTTAAAAAAAATTTAATGCCGAAATGTAAAAAGTCGGTTCAGAAATTTTTTTTTAATGACGTGCAAAACTACTTTAGACTTGAAGGTGCACGGATGGTGGTATGGTCTAATGTATATACTTACCTTTCTCGTCATTCCGCGAAAGAAAACCATAATTTTACATTTTCTTAACGCCAATTTTAATGCGTTTAATTATTACATATTAAATTAAGTTAAATTAGTAGATATTAAATATTTCATATATGCATGTATTAATGTTAGTATTTATGTATCTATGTATGTATTTGTAAGGTATATTTGCACATGTGTCTGTACGTGTATGTACTATTTAGTAAGAGTTTACACCCAATAAGTAATCTAGCGTGTTTTCCGTAGATTTATCACAGTCAAAAATTTTTGCTTAGTGCTTACATACATACTTCAAAATTGTATCAATGTAGAAATTTTTTTTTATTTGTTTATATTTAAAGGGTTAAATTGCTTGTGGGCTTAACTAAATATGCACTTATGACTATTCAAACATAGTGTTCATAAAGAACTTTTGTTTATTATTTAAAAAATATTCCAGCATTATTTGATTCCTATTTTTTTCTTCATTAATTTCGTAAATATTTGCACAAAGTCCCAAATGGTTGAAAACGTCTGTAACGAAAAGACAAAACGGATAATTTATTGATAGTTTTTCAATTGAAAAAAATTTTTCATTCAACTTTTTTCCTTCGGTTGTTATTTGACGTTTCTTAAAAAAAAAAGTTTTTATTAAGAAATTTTTACACACCTCAAAGTTTGTAAGATCCTTGTGACGAAGTTATATTTTGCCTATGGAAATCTGAACTTTTAGACGGGCGACACAAATCCAGCGATTTGTTGGCTAATAAAAAAACAAATGGAAATTTTTCATAAAATTAGCTCTCTTTTAAAAACAATTGGATTAAAACTTAAAAATATGTATCACGCTTTCGATCCCTCTCTTCCTGCTCACCTTTTATACCGCGCCTTGTAAGGCGAATCATTCGGCGGCAAGCGCGGCGAATCCGTTGAACTGCAACTACTCGAGCCGCTCGAACTCTCATCACGCGGCGAATATTGATCGTAGCGCGTCGAATAGTTCATCGCATAGCCATGTAGGCCGCTTGCGTGCGTAGCACCATAACCACCGCCGCCATTGCTATTACTGCGACAAGTAGCGATCGTAGGGATTTGCGAAGCGGTAAGCAAGAGATTCGCCGCCACGCTCTGCAACTTCATATTCGGCGGAGTTTGGGGTGGAGTATCGGGTTGGGCTTCGGGAAACCCCATCCCCCGCTGAGCCGCTGCGTACGGATGGTGTAGTGCGCTGGTGTTGTTGTTGTTGCTCGCACGCATATGCGTTGGCGGTGGGGGGTGGTGGTGCTGTTGCCACCGCCGCCGCCGCCGCCGCCGCCACCGCTGCTGCCTGTTGCGCCGTAGTATTTGGCGCCGTAATACGGGTGTTGTTGGTAGGGGTGGTATTGGTAATGTCCTGGCCGCTGCTGCTGTTGATAATGTTGTTGTTGTTGTTGTTGTTGCTGCTGAGTTGGTGACTGAGATTGCTGTTGCCGCTGCTGTTGGTGTTGTATGGGATATTGTTCGTAGTATGCAGCTGCTGCATTGTAGCCCCTAGAAAACCCCCGTAAGCTGTGGTAGGCGGCGCCCGCGAGTAGGCTGTGCTGCCGCCGCCGTAATTGCTCATCATCATATGCGCTGTGGGGGGCGGTGGTGCGCTCAGCGCTGACGACTGCTGCATCTGTTGCTGCTGCTGCTGCAACTGCAGCTGTTGTTGTGACAAGCCCATATGGCTGCCCAAAGCGCTGTGGTTCATGTGCGCCTGCGCCTGCGCCTGCTGCAATGCGTGCTGCTGCTGCTGCTGCTGCTGCTGCTGCGTTTGGCCCATGTATGCCGCCGTCTGTGCGGGCGGTGGGGTCTTGCAGGCGACTGTGTCGGCCAAACTCCAGATTTTGGGCTTGCTTGCTGGAATCGGCACGCCACAGTCCCGGCTCAGCTGGTTTTTTGAATCGCTGCCGTCATGTTTGTTCATGGGGTTGTTGGTGTTGTTGTTGTTGTTATTGTTAATGTTACTATTAACGCCTGGCATGCCGCCAGTTGGATAGCCACTTGCGGCCAATAGTGCCTGCTGGTGCTGATAGTAAGCGGGATGCTGGTGATGGTAGGGATGATAGCCGTGTGGATGGTTCGACGTGCCGCCAGAGCTGTGGTAGCTGCCGCCAGCTGCACTGCCAGTGCCGCCAGCGCCAGGATAGCCCATGCCTAAGCTGCGTACATCATTGGGATGTGGACCTAATGGTTTGGACTCGTCGTCGGGCAGATCGTCGTCATCCTTTTCGAGCTCTGAATTGATTCAAATTGAAATGTAATTTCAAGTAAGAGTTCTGAACGTTTTGAAAAAAAATATATACTCCAGAGGTTTTTATATAAAAAAAAACCCTTTTCGTAAATCTGAGAAAAAACTTAAATTCTATTTGATGTCCTTATTTGCAATTCACAGCTAAGGTTTGTACTATCTACTAAAATTCCTCCTTACCTTTCCGCTGCCCGCCGCCGCCCGTACTACCGCCGTGCAGGCTCTGCGCTCCCTTTTCACTATCCAGATCATCCTTTTCCTTCTCATCGTCGGACACCATTGCCTCGTCATCGTCATCAGTGCGATTCTTTGGCTCCCAAGTCATTTTATTTTCTTTCTTTAGCCGTCGTCGTGCGTTCGCGAACCACGTGGAGACCTGCGTCAGCGTCATCTTTGTAATGATGGCCAGCATAATCTTCTCACCTTTGGTGGGGTAGGGATTCTTTTTGTGCTCGTTGAGCCAGGCTTTCAGAGTGGCTGTAGACTCGCGTGTGGCATTCTTACGGCGTGCGGCCAAATCGTAACTGGGACCATATCTAAATGAGAAATGTTGAGGAGACGAAGTGATCAGTAATTTTTCTGAAATTCTTCACATCATTAACTTATATTAAAAATTATATTTAACGATTAAATTTCTTTCTTGTCATAAACCGTTATCTCCCATTAAACTTTTACTACGTTTTGAGCGTTTTTTGCTTTCCCCTAAACTACTACTTTCTGCCATCAGCTTCTTCTAATTAAATTCGCGCCCCAACGCATGGCTAATTAATTTTCCTGACTACTTTGGAACCTCGAAGAAAACAAAAAAAAAATCTGCGCTTCACACGCGTACACTCAGCAGCGAAATGGCGAACTTGTGTCTTCATAGTGTGAAAAAATAACCAAAGGCAAGAAAAGCGAGAAAATTAAGCATCCGACGTGAAGGGAAAACGATTTAAAAGCGAGGCAAATGACGTTACGTGTGAATGCTGTAACGACGAAATAAAGCAGCGAACATATCCTTTAATCCAAGCGGAGCGGCAGGAACAGGAGTAAAAACAGCAGCACACAAGCGCACGCACGTACTATACATGTGCCAATACATTAGGAGGAACAAACACACACATACACTCATACGGACCGACGACTGTGGCATCCTTTTGCACTCAACTCACGCACTGAACGCTGCTCCAACGGTGGCACCACCAAAGCCGCCAGCAAAGCCAGGCACTCAACGCTCTGCCAGTAAAGCGCAAAGCGAGGCAACAAAAAGTGTAGAAAACCTTCCTCCCCCCCACCTTCTCTGTCAGCTCTTTTGTTGCAGTGTTGCATGCTGCCTGTGCGCCACATATTCGCTGCTTTCCGCAATGGATTATCGCCGCGCGCGCACCCCACCATCGGATGGTTACACCAAGCGCTGCATATTTTGTATGCGTGCAGCAGCTTCTGCTGCGCTGTGGCATGTGCGGCATGCAACATGCCAACACACCGCACACCACACACTGAACCACCAACGCGATTGCTGCCGCTTTATTTACAACAATTTTTTCCAGCTTTGGTTGTGCTTTCACTTGCGCTTAGCCTGCACACAAATATTTTTAATTTCTTTATTTTTCTCAACTTTTGTTTTTTTCTCAATTTTTTTGTGGGATTTTTATGGTGCCGCAAGAATCAACAGCTTGTGCGGTGAACTTTACAACCAACTACTCGAATCTCTGTAGCTACTCCAGACGCACACTGCCCGTACAATCAATCGTACGGTGTCCAACGGTTAGCCGCCCGCTCGAGTCCACTGTTGGCGGCAATTGCCGGTGCTGCAAGCAACGTGCGTGGCCGGATGCAACGCTTTTTTTGTTATTTCTTTTCCTTAGCTATGATGCGCATATTTTTTTCTTTTTTGTATTTTTTTTTTCGTTGTAACAAAAACGCTTTGATTTTATATTTGCTGTTGGCATCTGCTTGAAAATCCTGTTGAAGGCTCGTTCCGTGAGTGGCACTCAACACCACTTTCAAGCGCTTGCTACAGTTTGTAGTTGTTGTTATACTCATCATGTGGAGCACTCAGCGCGATTTCGTTTTTTTGTTTTTTTTTTTTATGCGATCCTTTTTTACTATTTTGCATTAATGGGTTTGCTCTTTGGATTACTCTTTAGTTTCATGCACTTCTCAGCAAGGATATTTGGTCAAATGCCCACAGCAGCGAGAGTTATCGTTTTGCCTACGGCTTTTTGTGGTTTCAATGCATTTATTGCTTTTCGTTTCATTTTATATTTTGTTATTTTTATTACATTTTACAGTTTCTATTATTTTCTACTTTTATTCGCCAGTATCAACCAGTTAATGCTGGTCTGTTGATTTCCTTTATCGGCTATAGTTTTTGCTTCCGTATTGTTTATCGCCTTTAGTGCGAATGTATTAGGAAGAATAAATCTGTGGCTTGTGCAAAAGAATGTAGTTCGCCTCTAAAGTCGTTATGTAAATAAACCTACTTGGAAGCTTTCACTGGGGACTCTTAAAATGTAATTCGTTTCAATAAAGCACTTTAAATTTTGTTGAAAATAAAATTTTGAGTCGTCCAGATGGAATAGGTAACCCAACTCCAGGGAAGCGCAAAACTGATGATGGAGCCCCGATGAATTTTCTAAAATGCAATTCATGCCGTAAAGTTGAGCTTGTTCTTTCGATCCCTGAGATAGCTTCTGAGGGGCCTGGGAAATGCATCGACTTGAAACAACTCCCAGCAGAGGAGTTCCTGCATCCTAACAGTAACTTCTTACTCAGCACGATGTTATATTCCTTAACTTGTTTCAACTAAGCGTAGTTGTGAAAGGGGTGCTCAGTGATTATTATAAGGTATAACATAGCAGTTCCAATTACGCCGTTCTGTCGTGTCTACGTCCTACTAGTTAATGCCTAGTGGCAATACAGGCGCCACTAACGTTAAACTAACGGTAGTGATTTTTTTAAGATAAGAAACTTTATATTGCTGCGAAAAAAATCTGTTTCGCAGTATCCCAATCTATACGTATAATAAAAAAGTAACAGGGCGATCCCTGTATATTATAGATGTGAAGGAAAAATTAATATCGGGGTCCTCATCAGAAGCCAAATCAACAATTTTTAGAATTTTTTCTGTCTGTCTGTATGTTTGTACGCGCATCCCTCGAAAACTAATGCATAGAATCAAATGCAAATTTCACCAATGGATTACTTAAGGTCTAACTTAAAATATAGACTAAAAAAAATTTGAGAGTTGCCACCTGTTGGAAAATTACAGTTTAGATAAATTGATAATATAAATTAAACATTGCAATATAGTGATTAGAACGAAGAGATTTAAGAAGGCTTATAACCGAAAAAAAATACTCTAGAAGGTTGCCACCTATTTGAAAATTTTAATTTAATTTAATTAATAAGATAAATTTAATATTGCAATATGGGTATCAAACTAAAGAGGTTTAGGAAATTTTACTGCCGAAAATGTTTTTGAGGGGGTTGCCACCTGTTTAAAAAATTGTAAATTCACAAACTAAATAAAATATTACAATACTAATGTCAAACTGAAGTGGTTTAAGAAAATTTATTGTCTAACATATTTTTAAAGCGGGTTGCCACCTATTTGAAAAATTTGATTCACCTTCGAAGAAAGTGCGCGATATACAGACTCGAGTTATAAGATAATAAATTAAATTTTCAGGAGAAATCCGATACTCCACCTACTTTCTAAATACCCTCGAAAACTAACACCCACATTTATAAAAAAAAATTAAGAATGCTTCATAAATCGAAAATTTCTTTGATAATCTCCTTTAAAAAAGCTCTTTAAATATATTTTATTTTGTATGAATGAAGCTAAATGAGTTTTGGCAGGGAGTGAAAATACAAAAATAATTTTAAGGCGCAGCGAAGCACGTGGCTATATTTTTTTTAAAACCGTTTTTCAATAAAATAAATTAGCAGAAACCCCGGCTGGCTAAACGCCAGCTTTCGTTTCTGATAGGAGTTCTAACAGTCTACTGCCTAATAGAGGCTCAAGCGGTACGACTTAATAACTTTTCGGGCCCCTATTGCCAAGGCTTTTTGAAGTATTGCGAGGGGAAATCATATTAACATTTCTTTCTTAGGTGTGCTGCTTTCGCAAGACTAAGGTTTAGACATTCCGTCTCGTACATCAACGACACTTCCGAGTAATCCTCTGGGGTGGACAACAGCTGCCTGCGGTTCTTCATATAGATTTCCTGTAGTTAACGTTCCAGAAATACTACTACCACTTTCATTTGAAATTTTTTTCTCTCTTAATTTTTTTCTTTAGGAAAAGTTGTAAGGAGTTATTATACTTATACTCAAAGAAAGTAGTAAGTAAGTTCTGTAAGTAATGTTGCTGTGTTCTTCCCTATCGTTATCGATATATTTTTGTCACCTTATCGACTATTCTCATAGTCAATATCGTTCTGCATATACATGCTTGTCAATAAAATACATATGTTTTTTTAACCCTATAAAGCGGAAGGACTATTCTTTCCTTGTCTTTTGTGCATGGCTTGGTAATACCCTCAGTACGAATTACGCAAGAAATGCCCCATTAGTGCGTGCACTTCGAGAACTCGACGAGATTTCGAATTCTATTTTGTTTGATTTTTCTTCGCCCAAGAATGTATTTTCTAGATTATTGAAATCAATTTTATTTTAGTGCTCTATGCACTTTAGTTCTAAGTTATCGTTTTAGTCAGTAAGAACCTTAGTAGTTTATTAACTTTTTTGAAATAAATAAAGAAATAATGGGGTAAGAGGCAAATTGGGAAGAGTCCGATATAGTTAGTTGGGGCAAGAGACCTCATCCCTTACACCTAGCTAGACTGCAGCAATAAAAGGCATCTGCGGCACTTAGGCAAAAGTCCTTCAGAAGGCCGTCATTTTCTAAACCATTTATTCAAATTTTCTAAAAAAAAATAAGTGCAGTCAAAATTATCGGCCACTGAGTGGGCAGTCCTTTTTCTATTATTCCATAGTTTTTTATATGAAAATCGTAAAACACTCAAGTCTCTAATTGTTGCAACAATACTTCAATGTCCAATAAATTCGCTGAATTAAGTAAACAAGCATTGCATTGACGCGCCTCAACGCCAGCGGCTTTTAGTAACATTTGTCCGCATTACCACGAATTTACCGCCTACCGGCGCAAACCCACGGGCACACACACACACACACTCACACGCGTATGTAGGTATGAACATAATAGTAACGAACCTCAAACTGTGGTAATTTTGAAACATGAATTTCGCATTCACCGCCACGGCCACACAAAACATACGCTTTAAGCGTGTAAAATTGGCCAAAATGTGTGGTTCCATTATTGGCTAGATGAGGTCGAATGCAAACATACATACATACGTACACACATACATACATACAAACATGTCTAAAACCCTGTACATACAGGTGTGCGTATTTGGTTAGACACTTTTTGTTTGCCTTTTAATTATGGCAACTAGAAAATCGTTTCGCTACATGAGACTAACAGCACTAAAAAAACAAAAACAAAAACAAAAAAACACAACTAACAATAATAATACAAGTAAGCATTTGAAAAAGCACAGTAGCCACAAGCGAACAACAACAGCAGCAAAAAAAAATAAATATGTATAGTAAAAATACAAATATCGAACAAAACTTGTAATCTTGTAAACAAATCAAATTCTTGTTCACACAACAGCGCCAACAAAAACAATAATTGTAAGGAAAATAACAGCAGCAACTGCTACAAAAACGCGCCGTGTGTAAAATGTAGTAAAACTGTATGTAGCAACAACATCAACAACAAAGCCCAGCTAATAACGACGACTGCAAGCGCTACAATTAAAGCAACTAACAGGCGGGCAGGACAAGCAAAACAGAGATTCTGCCAGCCTACCATGCTGGTAACAGACCCCACGCACCTAACGCGTCTAGCGGGACACCCCCTTCCACCAACAATTCGCTCACAGCTCGTTCAGCCGAACGCTCTAATTATTTGTGGAAGCTATAATTTTATGCTTTTTTACAAGATTTTAAATGTTGCGCTTTTAACAAAAATTACTTTTTCTATGTATGTATGTACCATATGTAAGCATGGGCGCGCGCAGACGAAGAGCGGCGGTTGCGCGCAACGATAATTATTAACTTTTTTGGTTTGCTGAATTGCTGTAGCTGTACCTACTACATACAACCCAATGCTATTATTATCTGCGCGCGAACGATTTACATTGCATACGAAACGATTTCTAAACAAATAAAGCTCCACACGCTAGTGTGCGCGCGGCGGCTGTAATTGCGCGCCTGCCAGCCAGCTCCTCATCGGGCGCGCGCCACGCGAAATGGCAGCCTTAACAACCCACGTTTGCCGTTTTGTCAACGCGTTTTGGATGTCAAAGCAGTCACCCAACCAAAACCATCATGCGCGCCGCCCTTCATGCCGTGCCCCGCCGCAGTTGACGGTTCGCGGCCGTTAGATTTTTCTAATATCTCGCGCTTAATTGTTGATTTAATGGTTTGTTTTTTTTTTGTGTTGTTGTGGCGCTTGTCATCCAATCGCGCAAAATATGGAAGCAAATATGGCGTACATGCGCGCACACACACACACACACACACGCATGAACATATAAAGGCCCATGTGTCAGTTAAATTTCTGCTCCTGCACGCAAGCTCAGCGAATCGGAACCTCGCCCTGCCACTCATGCGCCCAGCAACATTTGTGGCGCTCCAGGCAGCACAAAAGTGCAACGCGCACTCCTCCGATCTCCTTGCCACAACAAATGCATTGCCTTGGTCGACCGCCATGACGGCTGGGTTTGGCCCAGTTGACTGCATTTTGTTTATTTGTTTATAGCTTGTATTATTTGTTTTTGTTATGATTTTTTTGTATGCAATTAAGTGCAATTATTTCCGCCGCAATCATAAATAAATAATTTCTCACTGCACATAAACAAATGCTCAAAGGCCAGCCAACCAGCCAACCAGCCAGCCACCCAACCAGCATAAACAACAAATTGTACCTCCAATTGGAAATTTTATTTAAATTTTATTCCTGTTTGTCCGGCATTCTATGTCATCCATTTGCCACCGCTGCTGCTCTCAGGCCGGCAATTGTGGCGCCGCGCTGCAAACGACAATTAAATTCAAATCAATTTTAAGTGCTACGCAAATCTTTTGCAATTAATTATGGGCAGCTTGGCTTTGGTGCCGCGACTCCAAAAACACACATCGCAAACCAACTCTTTTTCAGTAATCAGCGTCCCCCGCCCCCTTACCGCTAATGTACGCTAATGACCGCGCAGGGCCATACTTTTCTGCTCATTTATTTTTGGTTGGCAATTTGCAGTTAATTGTGCTTAATTTATTATAATTTTCGCATTCATTGTGCGCGATTGCGAGTGATTTATTCGCCTGTTTAAATAAATTTACAGCTGAAGTGTTTATTTTTGATTTTATTGGGTCAAATGTAAATTTTAAGTGATGGATTACGATAAGATTACAGGGGTAAGGGTATCTTACATTATCTTACAGGTTCGAAAGGTAGCTTCTAAGGCCTAGAATCTAAGCTATCGGGGAAAAGTGCTGCCAGCTGATTCATCACATTTTCATATATTTGCGACAGTGCAAATCTTGTGACAATATAAAATCTCACCGTGTCAATTTCAATGCGGCACTGTCCTGTAAAATCAATAATCAATACTAGCAGAAGCGGCTTTGCGAGCCCAAGTCGCTTCCTTCATCTTCGTTCTACACCGAATCAAAAAGACCGGTATTCTCCCTGCGCTAGTAACGTTGACTTGAGGTCAATCGGTATAAAAGTATAGCACTGATAGTCCAAGGTACTCCCACCCTATACTTTTTCGGTGAGATCAACCCTCGAAAATGTTCGGCGTGACCAAAATTGAGCTCAGGGCTCCGGTGCCTAACTTTTAGCGCAGCTTGGGTCGACCATTGGTCCATAAATTTTCGAAAAGGAGATTGGTGAGACCGTCACTGTTAACGACGAGCACTGCAGAACCAAGGCGCCTCCAAGTTAAACGATGTGGACGTGGGAAACAAGCAGCACAGCGCTACATTTTACACGGCAGGCATCAAGATGGATATTCTTGCATAACCGAAAAATTTACTCAATTTGAGAAGATTTTCCTTAATACAAAAATAGGGCGTCATTAATTTGAGGAAGTAAATTTACTTAATATAAATAATAATTTCCCCAATAAAAGTAAAAATTTCCTTATATAATTTTGAATTTTGTCAGTGCTGACAAAATTAATTGCTTTCCTGGCCAATGTCGGCTGTGGCGTCGCGTGAAGACTATAGTTTCTAGTTCTAGTTCTGAGGTTAGAGTAAGGTAAGTCAATTATTTCAGTTTAAATATTAATTTCAAATAGTAAAATTAATTTCATATAGGGAAACCTCAAATAAATACCATAAAAAATAAATTAGATAATTTTTTTTAAATGCAATTTAAAAATTTACAATTAACAAAATAAAAAAAAAATAAAAATTAAAAAAAAAATTCCCGCTATGGTTCTCGAACCTTACATATCTCGACTAGCGATCCAGAGCCTTCCTCTGTCGGCCATTGCCACTGTTTGAGCGCCACGAGCAAAATGACATACTTTAGGAATTGTGTTTTCCTTAACCTGAGTCAAATCGTTTACTCATATTAAGGCAGCCATGTCATTGGAGCCATTTCAAGGTAATATTTCCTTAGAATAATATACTTCTTTCCTAGCATCAAGGAATATTTTTTTCTGAGTGTACCTAGTCTAAACACCCCTCCAACTCTCTCGTCGAGCTTCGATCCGTCCGAGAAGAGGTTTATTGGAATTCTACTCCCGAGACTGGCATTCTCCCATTTGGCCCTTAGAGGGATGTTGTGGAGAAGGATCCGTTTAAGATAAGACGCGAAATACTCTGATCCATTTCTTCCGGTAAGAAGTCAAAGCTTTTGAAAAATTTTCTCTGATGGTCATTTTAAATAGCTCAGAAACAATGTGGGTGTTCACACCTGTCCTGTTATTATACTCTGGTGTATTTTGTGTTTGTAAATTGATTTAAAAGTATAACCATATAACCACATAACCAGTTAACCTAATAACCAAGCAGTTGTGAATACACCAATTTATGCATAGAATCTGCTTTCTTAATGTGGGGTAAAAGCCGTTTAAGCAATTGAAGGGTAAGGGTGGTATGGTTTCTACTATCGGTTTTGACGCATGTAAGTTTCTTGGTTATAAACCAATTTAAAACCAATAATAAAATGCTTTACTTTAGACACAACCATACATTTTAATGCAACGTTTAAATATAAAGTGAGCTTTAAAGTTACAGGTTACTTGATAAAACGGCCCTAAATGATGTCTACATCTACTTATATAGATCGAATTCTATTTGGTATCGCTAGAAATAAACCTGTCAATGTGTGACTTACCTAGCGATCATGTAGCAATATAAATTAATTGGTGCTTTCATAAATATTTTCTTTAATTTAAGCTCTCATGTCAGCTTTTTATTTAGAAACCTGCCTTGTATCTACAAGTAAAAGAAAGCGCAAGGCCTAGGCTCTTTTTGAGGGAAGAGCTGCAATCACAGGGAATAGAACCATCGCCGTCTTACTAGTAGTAAGGTTGAGTCTCTGCACCGCAGACTATTTAAACACCAAGTTCACGCATCCCTTAGACCACCTCAAAAAGAGAATCCAGAAACCCGCATACCTTTCAACAAACCAATCATCCAAAATTTTCTTTATGGCCCAATTCAATGGATAAGATAACACTATCTTGTCTTTGGTTTATTCATTCTTCGCTGGATGAAAACACTTCCCCGTTATTTCACAACCGGAATAGGTTTAATTTTAGTAATCTGATGACACCACTTTAATTATGAGTGAAATAAGTGGAGTAAAAAATAGAATATCTCTCAATTAAAATGTCCTCAGTCAAACAAGCCATCCTAAATCTAGTATCGGTATTCTTTTTAGACAAAAATACAATTTTAACGACCTCGGCTAAGCTTACCGTGAAGAAATGTGAAACAATATATGTGTGCCTACAAAATTTTATGGCCAATCAAGGACATAATGACATAATGAAAAAAAGTTTGTACTCACCCATAAGCGGACATCGGGTCGTATGAGTAATATCCAGTAGTTGGCTGTAGGCCAGCTGATGTCCAAGCGGTCATTTCTGTGCCACCAGCTGAATCTTTCAATGCATATGGATTGCTCTGTAGATAGAAAAAATAATGAAGTATTTTTTTACTAAACATCAAGTAAGTTTTTTTTTAATAAAATGTGAACATATGTAAAAGTATTTCAGATATACTATATGAACCTTTTCCACGCAAAATAAAGCAAAATTTTGTAAAAGAGCCTGCACTATGGAAAAATGATAACATTTTGTCAAAAAGTAATATAGTCAATGTACGAGCTTTGACCTCTCGAATTGGTTATTTTTGGCGTTTTATTGAGAACAGTTTTACTTACTGCTAAAGATTGTTTCGCGGCCACATATTTAAGGAAAATTACTAAAATAAATTGCTCCCATAGGTTTTTTCTTTACAACTATTTGTATGCTTGCCTCGTAAATGTACCTACAAATCACCTCAATATTCCAGCATACTTAAATACATATTTAGATATGTATGTATGCGCATATGTATGTACTAATCATGTTTAAATAAAACACGTATGTACTTACTTGTATGCCTGTGATTACATTTCGATTCGCAAATGGCAACAAATGTTATTAAAACATCGATCGTTTGCTTAATAAGTACGTTTGGTGTTGGGGAATTAATCAATTACAACGATGTAAAATGTAAAAGTCGCGCGCTTAAACGAGTAATAGAGATGTGACTTGTAATGGAGATAGCAAACAAATCAATACACACACACACGAACACATACCGGAGGCACCACATAAAAACAACGAACAACGCTATTAGCGCCATTTATAGGCAATGGCCCATTAACAGAACAGCGCGTTGCGAATGCGTATTTTATGCGAATAAAAGCAACAAATACGCAGCCAGCCATACATACGCACTTAAACGCAAATACATAAAAAAAAAAAACAAATGTAGAAAACCAGTTAACCGCCTAATAAAAAAAATAAAAAAAAAAAAAACAATCACTTGCGTAATCGCTGAACGTTTGCAAAAATATTTTCCCACAGTTTTTATGAAATTAAAAAATAACAGGTTGAATAAAATTTCGATTCAAAAAAAAAAAACAAATGCATTAAAATACAATAAATTACACGTATGCCATTTTGTTGATGACAAGAGCACAAGCAACAACAACAACAACAAGTAAGAAATATTCGTAAATAAATTAAAAATTAAAATTTATAATTCAACAAATTGTTAGAGAGCAGCGCGCCAATACAGCGAATGCTCGTACGAAAAACAAAAACAACAAAACGAAAACCTGCTGCCAACGCAGATCCGCCATTGTTTATGGTATGGCACTTGCGCGCGCTGCTGCTAATTATTACAAGCTTTTATTTTTCGTTCTTCATTGTGCCTAAAATTAAACAGATTTGTATGAACGTAGCCGAAAAAAGTCACTTTTTTTGTATTGAAAATTTAGGAAAATGTTGACATGGCCAGCATTTTGCATATTTTTCACATTTTTTTTAGCCATTTTTGTCCAAACAAAACGGCGGTCATCACGGCTCTCACGCTCTACGCAACAAAGCGTCCATTACACGGCTACTTATGTAAATGTATGTGTGTGTGTGCTTGGTGAATTTATTTCATTGGAAATGCCATAAATTTATAGCCGCATGTAAAATTATTGGTCGCAGCCAGGGTTGCCACTGACGAAAAAAAATATTTACCATCCACTTGAGAAAAAATATACCAAATCTAAAAAATATCTACCAATAAATTTTTTTATAGTTATTTTAATAAAAACTATAGCTTTATTTTTTTCTTTTTTTCAATTAAAACTAAAGTTTTGTTATTTTTTTAGTTATTTCAATAAGAATTAAAGTTGTTTTTAAGGAAATTTTTATTTAGCTAATTATACGGTATTTGAGTCATATTATTAGCATATTCGCAGTTTCTTTCAAAGCGGAAGTGATGAAACTAAAGGCAACAACGAAACTTCATAATTTGAAAAACTTCAACTCGAGTTATTATAGACAAATACTTCTTCTTTATTGGTGCTGTAACCGCCTAAGCGATTTTGGCCGAGTCCAAAACAGCACGCCAGTCATTTCTCTTCTGCGCTAACTGATGCCAATTGGAAATGCCAAGTGAAGCCAAGTCCTTCTCCACCTGGTCTTTCCAACGCAGAGGAGGCCTTCCTCTTCCTCTGTTATCAGCATCGCGGCCCGCGTTGTAAAATTTTCAGAGCAGGAGCGTTTCTGTCCATTCCAACGACATAGCCAAGCCAGCGGAGCCGCTGAATTTTAATCCGCTGCACTATGTCTATATCGTTGTAAAGCTCATACAGCTCATCGTTAAATCGTCTGCGATATTCGTCATCACCAAAAGGTCCGTAAATCTTTCGCAGAATCTTTCTCTCGAAAACTCCAGAGCCGCCTCATCAGATGCTTTCATTGTCCATGCCTCCGCGCCATACACCAGCACAGGCATGATGAGTACTTATAGAGTGTGAACTTTGTACGACGAGAGAGTACTTTACTTCTCAATTGCCTACTCAGCCCAACGTAGCACTTTTTGGCAAGAGTGATTCTCCGTTGGATTTCAAGGCTGACAAATACAGTGACTCAAAAAAGCACCTGGTGATTTTTTTATTATTCGCAATGTTTTTCAAGTAAAATTTTTTTGTTGTTTTAACTAAATTCATAAAAATTAACGATTCAAACTATATACAACATTTAGAAAAATTCAAAAAATTTTCGTCCAAATTTCGAATTTTTCACTCTGAATTTTTAGAACAATTTAAGATACCGAGTTTTAAAGCAAATAATACTTGAGTATAGCTCACACTGTGGTTCCCGTTGATTTTTTTTTTTTAATTTTTTGCCCCCAGTCTTTTGTGTTTTTTATTTAACAATTTCTATTGATAAAAAATGACGATTAAATTTTTTTTGCGAACAAGTATAGTGCGTCATTACATACCTGTAAATTTGTTTTTATTTGTATTTAAATAATCATTTAAAATATTTAGGCAATCAAAAGCTCCCCGGGATTCCAGTAAAATGAGTTTTGAATGGAGCACGATATGTTCGCCTTATATCGATATACATTTATACGTATGTAAGTATATAAAAAGTATGCAAAGAAATTTATAATATAAAGATAACTACGAAAAATAAATCGGTAACGAAGAGTTCAACAAATATCTACCAAAATGAGAAAAAATTTACCTTTTTACCAACCCAAATTTTTTCTACCAATTTTGGTAACAATTTACCAAAGTGGCAACCCTGGTCGCAGCGCACACAGTCTGCTGAGAGGACAGCCATGACGGTGGCGCTGTTGTGGGCAGCAACATCTGCCCTGGCGACTGTTAACTATTTTTGTTTTTTACCTCAAATTCACTTTGAATTGTTTCATTTGTTTCGGCTACGGTTTCGGTTTGTTGGCCATTTGATTTGTCTCTTTTGATTTATAAAATATAATTAACATTTTTAATTGCTTTAACATGATGTTAAGCAGCTGTTATATTAATTTCTAAATTTCAGTTTCATACCTCCGTTGACACGGCGTTAAATGTACAGATGTATTTATCAACTGACATTTATTTGAAAGCATGTTCAACACGAAGGCACAATTTGTTTGCGAAACGTGGAAGAGGCAAAAAAGTTGAATTTGTGAAGAAGTACAAAGCTGAGCTGAGAGGTTGCTTCGCATAAGCAGCTGAATTAGTTATGATCGTTGGAATATATGGAAAAATTGGTAATATATTTTTACTAACTAAAAAACCTTGCAGACATTTTTGCTAATGTTAAAAGTTGACTCTGTTGCAGCTGTACGCTATACATAGACCCTTTGGTGGTACATCGCGATACAAGATGAATATTGAAGATTCAACGTCGTGTTTATCGATTCTTGCGAACACGGAAATGGATTCCTTTAGAAAAGAACAGCAAGAAAATGTATTCAAACCTTTTGAAAAGTCGATTTTATAATGGTTCCACGTCATAAAATTAACAAATTTAAAGCTTTATATTTCACGTTAATTTTAAAGGTCAAGGCAATTTCCCCTTCCTGGGAAACATTTCTTTTAATTCTGCATCTCAAAGCATTTAAAATACAGTTGCAATTATTTCGCTATCTCTTCGTGTACCCGAGATATTAGATCTTAGCCGACCGAATCCCGACCAGATATAATTAAAATCTGGACGAAAAATGCCGACAAAATATAAAAATAAATAAAATGAAAATCGCGTGAGTTTTTATAATTTCAAAAATAATCCTTATCAGTCCAATTACTTCACCGATGGTTAAGAACAAATATAATTTTTTTGTCTGGGTTGTATTTTGTGGGAATTTAGAGTTATTGTGATTGTGCCATGCCTGGATAATGTCTTATGTTTGTTTTATCCGGTCGGGATTGTTATGTCTGTAAAAGTTGTCTGTCAGAGTTGTTACTGATCTGCATTTCTAAAAGTTTTTAGGATTCTGTTTTGTCGGGAATTTAAAAGTTGGGATTACGCCACTATTTTTTTCGATAATATAGTAATCGCGTACGCTCTACGCTGTCCACTTTTTACAGATCACATTTTACTAAGCGTCCGCTGTGGTGTAGTGGTTAACCCTGGTCAAAACAACAACGCAAAAAAAATAAGAAAAAATATTATATTATATTTTTTACTTTTATATTTTAAAGTTTATAATCAGCTTCTAAATTTTTACCTATAATACTATCAGTGTGAGCGCAAACTTTTGAGTTTTGAAATCGTTTTCTCATTGATATCGACATCGTTATCGTTATATTTATCGTCCTGCACATGACGTTTTTTGTGGATGTTAACAATTTTGATCATTAGTAACTTGGTTATCGACAATTATTTTAATTTTTATCGATAACGATCATTACCGTTATTTTAAAAAATTCGGACTTTTTACCGATACCAACCTTATCATCGTCTAATTTACGCACTTGCATTATTTTTCCTATTTGAACAGGGGCTTAGCTATATTAACCCTTTACAGCTTAAATGAAACATTTTGGGAGCATTTAAGACTTCTTATTACTTTTTGAAGAAAGAAATTTATTTGAATCAAAAATTTTAAATTACACCAAT